CAGCTGGGCTATGACTCCTTTGGCGATCCAGCTGGGCCTGCGACCAATCGACCCGCGCGAGCGAGCACGGGTGCCTCGCGTGCGTCGAGCAGTCGACCTCTTGGTGGATGGCCACCTTCCATCCAAGTGCATTTACGTAGGGCGAGGGCATCACAGCCACAAGTTGCCCCTGTCGAAATGGTGCTCTCCGTACACCCCAGGGCATGATTGTACCGCAGATGAATGGCTTCCTTGCTATGTTGAGTTCATCATGTCATCCAGGGCGGCGGAACTCCCAGAGCTGGCGGGCTGCACCTTAGCCTGTGATTGTCCACATGACAGTGACGTGTGCGAAGCTGATGCGCTGGCAGGGTTGGTTTTTGACGCCACAGCCCCGGAAGCACCTCGCTACCTGGCAGCGGCAAGCGGGCAGGCCCAGAGGCATCACTCGACAGCATCTCGCGCATTGCGGTTGGGGGTCATCCCCAGCCGCGGAGTGGCTGCGAGCCTCCCAGCACGAGTGGGCCTATTCACCCAAGAAAGCGTGGTCACGTGCTTCCGCCGCCTCTTCCCAGGTACATGGTTCCAGGACTTCAAGTTCCCGATGATCGAAGACCTCCTGAATCAGGCACCGTTCTGCGAGTTCCCACGCTGGAGAGACCAGCACGATCTCAAGGCAGATGGGCCCCTGGGACCACATTTGGCTAGCGCAGCTCTGAGACAGCGGCAACGTCATGCCGAGGGCCAGCAAGCCGGAGCTTTGAGCCATAAAGCCGCCCTACCTCCGCTTTTGAGTTTTGGGCTGGACCCGGACACCCACTTTCAGCGTGCTTGCCTTCGAAGCCAGGCACCCATCCCGACTGAGCAGTCGCCCCTCCTGGACGACGATCTATGGTTTGTGGCTGAACTCTATGCATCACGTTCCGAAGACCTACCACGACTCCGCGAGCAGAGCCTAGGCATCTTGAAGGAGCTGAAGCAGCGATGGGGAGGCGTGGGCGAGCACCTGCGGACTTTCCAAACATCAGCGATTCGGGCAGTCACCCGTTCCAGGGACATCGGCCTAACCGCCCTCTTGGTGACCCTAACGTCCTGGGCGGACATCACGTACCCTTACGGCTTGGTAGCGGGACTGCCAGCTGTAGGTACGGCGCCACCCTACGGGGTCTTTCCGGAGCAGCCAGGTCGTAGCCTCACCATGGAGGACGTGCTTGACGACTGGGAAACCCACAACTACAAGACCCTCGCCGCACTCAAACCCGGCAGACATGATGCCGTGCTGCTGGAGCAATCGCTGAATGATGCCGCCCAAGGCTTCTGCTCTGCACCGTTGACCCAGGCACAGCTCCTACGAGAACTACGAGGAGAACCATTCCGCCTCATCCCCCGATGTGTAATTGTCCAATCCTCGGGCAAAAAGCGGATCATTGATAATGGAGATACAGGAGGCCAGTCTGAGAGGTCGTCGGATTGGAACAAATTGGTGCTTTGCTCGCCGTTGCGCCCAGCACAACATGTGGGAGCAGTCGCTTCACTGTTGACAGACGAACAGTGGCATACCCTTACGACTGCTGACGAGTGGCAGTCAGGAGGGGAAGATTGGCCGAACGCGTATCGGCATTCCCCTATCAGTCAGGCAGAGAGCCGCGGCTGTATCGTCTGCTTCTGGCATGCTGAGCGGGGGGAACCCGCCTTTCAGGTGTATTCATCCCTCCTCTTCGGCCTTCCGCTCGCGGTTACATCGTTCAATCGGTATTCACGCCTCATTGAAGCACTGGGCCGACGGCTTACATACAGTCTGGTGTCGCTCTATTTCGATGACGCCCACATCACAGACCTCCAGTCAGGCCTCGGCTCTAGCCAACAAGCTTTCTGTCAGTTGAACACCCTCTTAGGTACCCCGTTTGCCGAGGAGAAGAAACAGTTGATGCAGCCCACTGGCACCTTTCTGGGCCTTGATCACGACTTTACGAACCTCAGTCGGGGCTTCGTGACGTTTTGGGCCCGCGATCGATTGATTCAGAAGACAGCTGCGATGATTACCGAGGCACAGACACAACAGCCTGTCCTCAGGCCAGGCATCCAAGCTCTACGGCATGCTCAATTTTCTCGAGCAGGGCATGTACGGAAGGTTGGGATGCGCAGGTCTGGCAGCCATTAAAGCACGCCAGACAGAGCGCAACCGCGACCTCACTCCAGAGCTTCAGCGCAACTTCGAGGTGATCCACTCCATTCTTCGCCATCGACCCTGTCGAGAACTTCCCGTGAGGCCGTCCGAATGTTTGCGGTTTGTTGTAGCCTCTGACGCAGCTTTGGAGGAACCAAAGCAGGGCACCGGAGGATTTTTAATCGTCTGGCACGATCCGGTGGGACCGGTTCGGGAAGCCTTCATCGCCAACATTTCTCCGGAAGTTTACCAGCTGTGGGAGCCTGGAGATAGGCAGATAGCCCAGTTGGAAATGGTGATGATCATTTATGCCCTCACATTTCGGGCGCAGGCCTTTCGAGGTCGTCGAGGCATCTGGCTGATCGACAACGTCGCTAGCCTCATGTGTCTGATTCGGGGCCGTTCCCAGTCACCCGATCTGGAGCGCATGTGTGGTTTGATTCATGTCATGCTGTACGCTTTGCGTACCTGGATGTATTGGGAATACATTCCGTCTAAGAGTAATTGGGCCGACGCCATTTCAAGACTAGGTTGGTCCGATCCGTGGTGGCGAACCAACGGATTCACCCCTTTTTCCGTCTCTTGCCCTCTCTGCCTTTGGCACCTTCCGCTGCCAGCAGTGATCCGAGTCGTAGAATTTCTCTAAGTGCGTTGGGAGGATTTGAAGTGCATTGGGAGTGGTTTCCGGAGTGACCGGAAGGATACCACAAGGGTCTGATTGTGTCAGGCCTGCTGATGCAGGTAACCCAACGCAATTATCCTGCTGGACATGGCAGGTTGAAGACCATACCGGCAAGATGACTGAGGAAAAGGGATTGTGTGCGGACCACCGTAGCTACGAGAGTCAACCTTGGAAAGAAATGAATTAAGCCACTTAGAGGTAGAACTTAGATGAGGAAAGTGCCGGTCCGACGGTGCAGACCTTTAAATTCCGGCGCTTGCTCTCAGTGCCGGGATGCTGACCATACTTTGTTTTCATTACGGGGGGGGGCGCTGCGCCCTCCCCCCGAACCCCCTCCCGCTTTCTTAATTTAGGCGATTGCTACGGGACAACTAAGCGATCAAGGAGTCCCATCTCATCAAACACTTGGCTATTCAAGGTTCACAAAAGTACTGCGGCTGCCACGAAAAACGAAAAACAATAAGCCACAAAAAGAAACAAGATATCCGAAGTTAAATCCGAGCCAAAAATCTAGGAACCAAATCATTCGCGCAAGCTATCCTGCGTCCAAGGTAGTAGCTAGTTAAGCTACTAGCTACCTAGCGACCTCCGCGGCCTACCCCTTCCCCAAAAATGAACAAAAAGAAAGAGCGCACGCAAAGCTTCTTGTTATTTCTAGTAAGGCCAGGCGCCCCTAGTAGCGTCCTTTGTTCCTAGTAGTAAGGCACTTGTTTCTAATAGCTTCCTTGTTACTACAAAACGAGCTCAAAATTGGATCAGTTGGCGGCACTGCTCTGTAGGGAGGCACAAACTGTGATTGCTATGTTTCACAGGCTATGCCAACACAAGTGCACAGATTGAACATCTCGGTGCCACTTTCCAGCTACAAGAAGATCAAGTTTTGTTTCGGCATCGGTCTCACCTGTTTTTGTCACTCCCTGATTGCGGCTGCTGGTGCTTTTCTTCGGCTCAGTACGTGTCATAAGCCCTCCATGTCAGACTTGTGCTGTTGTGTGTTTTGAAGGGTTGGAGGCACTTGTTTTGTGTTAATGGAGGAAAGTGTTTCTTTTTGGCAGATTTGCTGTAGAGTTAGCAGCCTTTGTGGAGTTGTGGCCTCCACCAGCTCAAGCAAAAAGATGCCCTTTCGTTGAATGTGTGTTCTTTGCGGGGCGTTGTCCATCCACAGTCTTCGTATGTCTTCGTGGCTTCATGTTTTTTTCCTAGTAGCGTCCTTGCTCCTGTGCCTTAATGGCTTCCTTCCACGTCTCATCAACTGCGTTTCCTCTCAGTCACATGTGCATGGCCCTCGTCAAGGTTTGTTGGGCCTGCGCGACTTTTGCAACTTCATTCCGTACGGGATTTAAAGGCTTACGCCTAACAGCCGGGCGCCGGCCCACTTGGGTCTGTGGGGCGTATGTCGCGCCTATGTTGGCCTTGGTGGGGCCTATATTGAGCAAAGTTAAGCTATCTGGTGCGCATCTTGGCCCTAGGTCCTAGGTTGGGCCAAGTGGGGCCCATGTGGTGTATGTTGGGCACATCTTGGGCCGATGTTGAGCCTATGTTGGGCCTATGTTGGCCTATGTTAGGCCTATGTTGGCCTATGTTGGCCTAGGTTGGGCCTATGTTGGCCTATGTTGGCTCTACGTTGAGCCATCTTGGAGGCTATCTTGGGCCTATGTTGGGGATATGTTGGGCAATTTATGTTAAAACATATTCCGATAAATCTTTTTACGATTTTTCCTGCCCGCAATGCAAAAACACGGGAAAAACCTACGTTTTTTTAACATCGCCAAGAAGAAATTCTCGGCCGCCGAGGGGGCCAAAGCCCTGTAACACACAGTTTTTTTAATACCTCACACACATAACGCACTGTAAATTACAGGGGCTTCAGTGAACCGGAAGTGACGACGGGCCCCCCCCGTTTTTATGACGAGGGTCGGCGGCAGGGGGTTATAACCTTCGGTTACCACCGAAGGCCCTCCGGGCATGCCACGGGCTTCCTGGCCGGTGCCCGGATTATTAGGTTGCTAGATATTGGAATGAAGACAGGAGAAACACATGGGAATGATAATGGAAATTGGGTAAGGGCCCCTTTGATCAGGCCTCATTTAGAGGGAAAAGGGGCCTGCCCTTCGGACATGTTTTTTTGATTTCAGTATTGTTCTGACAGAACAAAATCTTTCTTGTGTGGAGGCCTCTGATGCACACCTGGCCGCAGCAGTTTATCAACGTAGCTTTGGTGCGCTGCGCGGAAAATATGAGTCTACGATAGTTGGCGTAGAGTATGAATTTCAAGAAATGCTCGAATTTCGTTTGATCAGTCAAGACTCTTGTGAACTTGGTGAGGTTGCGACCCCCGTGGTGCCTATTGCAGACTTTGTGAGCACGAAATGGTAGTGTCCTCAGATGGCCCCCAACCTAAAAGCAATGGCCTTCAACCAGCTTACATAGCTTGGGAGGGGAATCCTCCCCAAGGATCTGATGCGCAATTCATGTCACCTGACCTCTTTGGGAGGAAACAGGGAAGACTATAGTATAGCGGGTTGCGCATGCATTTCGAGAATGTTGTTTTATTTATTTGTCAATTTATAACACATTGATGGATTTGGGATTTCTCAGGCCACCCAACATTTATTTACTATGCGGGTTTGTTGGGTTTTTTTAACAAAAAGAAACACCCAAAACTAAAACTGCAAAGCTATTGATTGTTTTTTACTACTTGTTTTAAACTATGAATATGTCCCCTCATTGATGTGTTTTGTTTTGTTGTACAAGAACACACGCATACACATACATACATACAAGATCTACAAAGACAAGGAACACTATATTCACCAGAAGCCCACCAGACAACTTGGCAAGCATACAAAACAATATAAGAAACAGCTTGTGGGCCAATGCACCAGACCATGGCAATCACCACAACACCGGTGGGCGCCACACAGAAGTGGCTATCAATGTGGAGCGTGCGGGCTGAGGTTACACCAAGGCCTTACTGTACAGGAGATTGAACTAAGACTCAAACAGGAATGTCAACAATTGACCCTGGATGAACAACATCCTGAACAGGCCAGCCCTCACCAAGCGCTGCCAAAGAAACAAACCAGAGCACAGGTCATTAAGAACCTTCTGGAGACCCAAGCTCAGAACCAACCAGAGACCGCGCAGCACCAATTTGAAGCCACCACTGGCTACCTTCGCTGTGTCAAATGTGGAACCAGCATACACAAGCGAGTCAATGAAGCAGCCTTCCTGACCTATTTGGCCAGCAGGTGCCTCGATCAACCGTACACTGAAGCACATTCAGGACACAGCTCTCATGCACTCTGGCAGAAAGGAGAGAAAGTCTCCTGCACCCAATGTGGCCTGAGCTTGCACCTCGATGGACAACAACGAATCATCCTCACTGGAGATTTGAAGAAACCTTGCAAGGGAGCAGCAATCAGTGGATCACCACCGCTGCCCGAACTCTTCCGCAAACAGGTTGAGCAAGCCACACAAAAGGCAAACAGCCAGGATGACTCACAAGAGCAAACCTTATCCACGGCAGCATCGGATAGGGCAGCCTACCAGCATCCGAGCACGGCCCCATGTCTGGACACCACAATCCAGGCCTCACCCAACCAAGGGCCCAACCGAGGACCCACGCCTCGCAGGCTACACTTCTCCACGGCTTTCGACAGTCTGACTTCAGACACAACACCGGCTACCACTGCCTTGGCCATGAATCCCAGCCAACAGACAGTGGACGAGAATAGAGAACAGAAGAAAGCACGCCTTGAAGCTGACACCACAATGCGGACCGAGAGTGTCCACGAACAAGACGAAGAAGAGTCCCGTGCGGAGGACGACGCATGCAACGTAGACTTCTTCTGAACTGCAGGCAGTGAGGCGAAAAGCCTATAGAACACTGAACCGAGGCCAAGGAGCCAAACCAGCAACTTTAGGAGAAACAATACATGCATACATACATACATACATACATACGGTACGTACTTACTTGCTTACTTACATATACATATATATATATGTACACAACGCAACCACAGCACAACACACATACACATACGCGACACAACACACAACATCAACAGCAACAGCAACAACAAGAACAAAAAACAAGAACAAGGTACAAACAACCACTGCAGCCTTGTTTAACACCCATCTTCTTACTTTGCCCCTAACCCCTCCTAGAAACACAGACTGCATCCCCGCTGTTGTTTTTGGACCCCCCTCCAAAACATTTGGAAAATCACTACAAACAGATACTTACGAAACCAACATTCCCTCAAACCTTCAACCGTATCCCTGCCTTGTCCCCTTGAAGTTCCAGAGTTGTAACATGTGATAACTATGTTGGGCGGCAATTTTTGCTTCTACCACCAACAACAACAACCACAACCACAACCAACACACAAGACAACAACACATACACACAACAAAACACACACTTATGGATATGCGTACTGACTGACAGCGGTGCCACACGCCGGCCTAGGGTTCCAATTCCTAAGGGTACAGGTGAGGAAACCTGAAAAGGAAGTGGAGGTCCAACAAGTTCAGCGTGGCCATCTAATCTAAAGGAGCCATCGAACGATCGACCGACAGGATGACGTCGTCCGCTCACATCTGCAAGTCAAAACCAAAGCCCTATGCGTGACTGCCGAGAGCAAACCGGTGCAAAGGCCAGAATCTTGTTGTAGCTAAAAGCAGGGACCATTGGGAAATGTGAAGTCATCACGAAGCAGGTACGTGGATTCTACGTCCAGAATCCATATCAGTGACTCGTAACAGCCTCTTCGTTGGACTGCCACTGTTACAAGTCAGGTAGTCCCCCTGCTGAAAAGAAAA